GGTGACGGAAATCCCATAATTGGATGGTGGGAGCACTAGCAAGTCATCAAAAATAGATGCATTTCAGTGGTATCATGAAACCTAAGCTGGTAAACACTATGGGTCAGAAGTCAGCATACTACATCTTCACTTACTCTGCAGTAAATATGGAATCTCTTCCTGGACTAAGACTCTCAGAAAGTAACAATAAGGCTCCCTCCTATTTTCTGGTGTGGAGTTTAAAACTGCATGACATGTTATTTAAAGCATGCCACTTTCCAAGGACAACTTACTGAGTTTAAGGCCACCTCTATATGTGCAAGTAAAGGTACAACTTGATCTAATGCATGATCCACACAATTGAACCTCCTCCCAGGCCACATGTGCATGGCAGGAGGCATGATTGTGGGATTGCACATTAGAGCCAATCATGCCTTATTGCCAGTGGAGGGGGAGCCTGATCCTGGGCTCCCACCAGCATTGGCAAGAAGGACGCTCCCATGCCTGGGAGTCCCCTTGGCTGGCATGGGACACATACACAACCAGGATCAAGAGCCCTGTCACATGCAGGACTCTTGGTTCCATCTGCGTGTGTGGGTCTGGTGGTTTCACACACCACTGAGCCTTGGGGATTGTGCCAGGGCTCAGGTGTTTCACCCTAGGCATGGTGCACCGATGCAGCTGGAAGCCTTGTCAGCTGATGGGGTTCCCAGCCACAGGGGAGACCCTGCTACATGTGCAAATTAAAACACAATAGCAATCAGCAATAAAGTTAGTATACATTTTAGAGGTCTAACTATATAGCTGGTTGGGGCTTTTTATGGAGTGATACTTACTTTACTGCGTGTAGCTGGTCTTCAGGTAACTGTGCAGTTAACCAGTTAATTGTGCAATACTTGTAATGTGTAAAGGGCACATAAGTTATATAAACTTACCGCTTACTTTCATTTCTTGCCACTATTTGCAATGAATCAGGATGCACAGAACATGCATGCAAAAGGGTGTGTATTTGTGCTCTCCAGTGTTTCTTTCCTTTAAAACTATCATCAGTTAAACCCTAAAACTCTGTACATCTTAGGTCAAATTCTGCTCTAAATCACACCAACCTATATTTGGAGTAATTCTAATGAATACTGTGGTCATTCATATCCAACTGTCTTTCCTCTCTCGGCATAGAAAATAAGGTTGCACAAAGCTCCCTGCTGCTGCAGGCAGACCATTTCTGGCACCCAAGGTAGCTTGAATATATTATACTACACTGCAGCCTGCTTCACAGACATACCCTTAGTCATGGACCTGGACTACAGTATCTTGTACATATCAGCCATTCTTAATCTACAAATCCATTAGCGTTTTCTGCCTCTAGGAATCTGTAGCCAGAGGTATAAAATGACCACAGAACCTAAAAAAAAAAATCAATATCTATCTAGTAGAATTGTAAGACAGCACTCTACATACATGTCTGTCTTGCCTAAATCCTTACCCCGCTCTGAATGCAAGCTAGGTAGACACCTTTTTATGTACTCAGCAAAGTTCTATATTTCAGTCTGGGGTCCTTGAAAGAGAGGTCTGTTGCGACAAATTGCTTTGAAAATCCTGCCAAGATATTTTGCTTTTCTGTGTTTGGCAAGTCTTTAGTCATCCCTAGTCAGAACCAGTTATGTAGGCTTGTCAGAGATAAAGGTAAGATCTAAGGTAACACTACTGTCATCATCCCTTAATGACTCTCTAGTGTCTGTTGGTAAGTGGTTATCTAAAGCCATCTTCTGCTCCTTGCCTGCCTGCATTGTAGGGCAGCTTCCAATGAATTATAAACAACAATTATAACAACAAGTAGATGTACAGACAAGACTAACCAAACAGGCCAATATCCATTACTCAAAAATTATCAGAAGGCAATTACATATCCCTCGGACTCAGCACTTATTAAAATGTACACACTAATTTGAGTTTCTAAATGTAGACTTAAGAGCCTAACTTCAGGCATCTACAGTTTTCAAATCTTGACCCAGTTATTTAAGTACACAACTGTAAGCACCCAAATTGGAAATCTCTGGCTTTTAATTCCTCTGCTTGCCAACAAATGCCAGAGACTAAAGAGCATTACAAAGAAGAATTACAACTCAGTTGAAAGAAACAGCATGAGAGTCATGTAAGAGTGATTCATCACAACTATGGGCCAGATTCTATTCTACTGATTAGGCATGTAACTGGACTCAAGGGTGCCTAAGTGGAATTAAGTGGACCCAAGTGAGATTCTATTCCTCCTTAGCCGAGCCCCTGAAACATGGTTAAAGCAGGCAGGAGGGTCCTTCTTTTCCATGCTACTCTTTTAAGACTCATTTTTAAAGGTAAAATATTGTATGTTACAAAAGTAGATTCATTCATGGATTTTCAGGATTTGATCATGGTGGAACAGAATTGCCCATAAGGCACCTAAGCTCACTTAGACACCCAATAAGTAGAATAGAGTCTGGTCCTATATGGTTTAGAAAAGCAATGTTTACCCTCAAGTGGGCAACTTGCACTTCAAGTTTAACAAGAAATTTCTCTGAAGGTTAATGATTTGAAATGAAAGTAAACAAATGTGCATTTCTACAATAATTATGCAACACAGCAACGTATTATTATTAGATATCTCCCTATACATGCTCACCAAGGTTGAACATACATATTCTAAACAATATGTATACATGCAAAATATTTATGCACACAAAAAAGTTTCTGTATATACAGTGTACATGGCATAGTTGTATATGCCTAATGTTGAAATATAATGCCTTCCTTCTATTTGGTTATTACCAAAGGATGGCATTCACCTTTTTTGCTAACACTATGGATTTTTTTTTTGTTTCAAATGAAAGCCATCATTGAGAACATGAAAATCTATGCGTTTTTTCTTCCTTCATTTTTTTCTGGCAACTAACCTGTTAAGCCAGCTTACAAATTTCTTATTGAACAGAGGCCTCAGGAAATGAGGAAAACAGCTGAATGATTACATAATTCAGAGATAATCACCTGTATTATCATACCAGGGGATATGCAATATATTTTAGTACATATTTTTTCTTATTCAAAATATAGCTGTCTCTGTTTCAAGGCATAGTAGAGACAAGATAGATCTGCACTGCTGACAATTACTTGTCTGTTCTCTTTTGATGGTATGTTTATTCTATTGCCTCCATGCATGATTAACAGTTTGTGTATCCTTCACATGTAATCAATAGCTGTGAAATCTTGTATTAGCTTTAGAGATTAGACATCCCTTGATAATAAATTCCATCGATTTCTGTAGCTCAGCCTAGTTGCACAAATCCCACTACATTTTTTGGAGTTTAAATTAGAAGGAGATATATAGCCTACAAGAAGTAGAAATGCTGGGGTGATAATAAGGTGTAACCTCTTTAAACTCATTCCTTTAGATAAGCAAAACCTAGCTCGTAAAACATGAATCAGCATGTCCAAGAATCATGCAACAACAGTAAAAACAATGCAAAACATGTCATAAAACACAAAATTCAAAGGAAAACTGCCTGGGACTGTAATTAATACAGGCATCTAGTAAGAATGAATTGTCTAAAGATATTTGGAAATGACATCATCAGCAGAGAAAAGAAAATGAAATTCTGACTTTTAATTTGAAGGTTTGCAGCTGTACCAAAACTGAGCAGAAGATTCACACCTTCTCTTAAAAACATCTGTTTAACCATTGCACACAGGTAGGTAAATATTGAACAGAAAGTATTCACAATATTCCTTTGACTATAATTTATTACTTTGCTTTGCTATTACTGTGATCATTTTTCATTTGTTTCCAGTGAACATTCATATAAGTTATTTTTTAGTTTTGTTTGAGGACATATATAGGTCAGAAGCTAAAAATGTTGCAAAAAATGGTGTAAACATTTTTATACGTGTAACATATGAGAATTTTCTATATACAACCTGAAATCTTCTACTATTTTTTTTCTGCTTATAAAATAAAGTTTTGGTCTTCCAATTAAGGAGCAAAAGAGACTGCTATTCGACTTAAATGACTAATTACAACACTACAGAAATACTAAATACTAAATACAATCATCATAATTGTGTGCATGGGGGGTTATTGTTCTTATTTTTTAACTAACCTTCATGTTATGATGTGAATGTACACATCACTGTGCACATACAAACTACTCACTTATAACAATCCAGACCCCTGCTCTGACCTTCTCTCCCACTGGCCAGAGTGCTCTTTGGCCCCAAGTGCTTCATTTGGCACATCAAACTTGAAACTCTCAAA